AATGCTTGCACGGGTTGTAGAGTGACAGTAAATGTGACTCTCCAGCAATATAGTTTGTCATGATTAGCTTAGCATTACATTGCATAAAGGGAAACATAAGCATCCTGCTTGTGGGAAGGTGGACCAAAAGAAGCTATATAGTCTTGAAATGCGTGTAAATAATGAACTACACTGCTCAATGAATGTGTGTGTTTACTTCAGGAGCAGTTTCTAGTTCCCGATCACACGATTAAAGACATCAGCGGTGCTTCCTTCGCTGGCTTCTACTACATCTGTTTCCAGAAGTCTACAGCCACCATAGAGGGATATTACTACCACAGGAGCTCAGAATGGTACATGTACACAACACACACAGCTCTGTTATTAACATGATCTATCCTCACAGTAAATATAATAGTCATTTAGTGCTGTAACTACTAGTAAACATGGAGAAAGGATGGCGAGGTCCTGACTCTCTGTGATTGGTAAAAATCCCAGGATGTCCTTTGAAAAGATTAGAGGTTGGCCAAAGTTGCCCACTGGCCTCTTTCCATCATGGCCTCCTAACCATCCCCATATCATAATTGGCTTCATCACTCTGTCTCCTCTCCACCAATCAGCTGGTGTGTGGTGTGCGGTCTGGCATAATATGGCTGCTTTCGCCAAATCCAAGTGGATGCTGCACACTGGTGTTTTTATTCTTATTATTAATATTGTTATGATTAACATTATTATTATTATTATTTTTATTTTTATTATTAATAATATTTTTGTTACTATTGTTATTATTGATATTATTATAATTATTAACAGTATTATTATTAATAATATTATTAATAGTAGTATTAACATTATTATTATTAATGTTGTTATTGTTTTTATTATTAATAATAATAATATTATAATAATAGCAATAATAATATTATTAATAATAACATTAATGTTAGTAATAATAATAGTAATAATAATATTAATAACAATAATAATAAAACACTAATACTAATAATAATAATAACAACAACATTAATAATAATGTTAATAATAATAATAATGTTTATAAAAAATAATAATATTATTATTATTAATAATAAAAACAATAACAACATTAATAATAATAATGTTAATACTACTATTAATAATATTATTAATAATAATACTGTTAATAATTATAATAATATCAATAATAACAATAGTAACAAAAATATTATTAATAATAAAAATAAAAATAATAATAATAATAATGTTAATCATAACAATATTAATAATAAGAATAAAAACACCAGTGTGCAGCATCCACTTGGATTTGGCGAAAGCAGCCATATTATGCCAGACCGCACACCACACACCAGCTGATTGGTGGAGAGGAGTGATGAAGCCAATTATGATATGGGGATGGTTAGGAGGCCATGATGGAAAGAGGCCAGTGGGCAACTTTGGCCAACCTCTAATCTTTTCAAAGGACATCCTGGGATTTTTACCAATCACAGAGAGTCAGGACCTCGCCATCCTTCCTCCATGTTTACTAGTAGTTACAGCACTAAATGACTATTATATTTACTGTGAGGATAGATCATGTTAATAACAGAGCTGTGTGTGTTGTGTACATGTACCATTCTGAGCTCCTGTGGTAGTAATATCCCTCTATGGTGGCTGTAGACTTCTGGAAACAGATGTAGTAGAAGCCAGCGAAGGAAGCACCGCTGATGTCTTTAATCGTGTGATCGGGAACTAGAAACTGCTCCTGAAGTAAACACACACATTCATTGAGCAGTGTAGTTCATTATTTACACGCATTTCAAGACTATATAGCTTCTTTTGGTCCACCTTCCCACAAGCAGGATGCTTATGTTTCCCTTTATGCAATGTAATGCTAAGCTAATCATGACAAACTATATTGCTGGAGAGTCACATTTACTGTCACTCTACAACCCGTGCAAGCATTTACGGTTACATCATTAAAGTACAAATATTGCAGCCTAAACACAGAGCCCTCGTGACTAACTATACGTCACTTGAAAGCTGAACATTTCTAGTTTTCATACGTGGTGACTGATTTTTAATGAGATATTACTGAGCATTATTATGTAACAAGGATACTCAAGAGTTGTAAATCATTACTTTGCTACAGCAATCTGCATTTACACATTTGTAAGGTGTTTTTAGAGGATAAACTGAAATGAAATATCACCAAACTACTCTAAAATTTGACGTCTACTGTACAAATATTGTCAAAAGTATGAAAAATACATGGTTCATATTCCTGAAATCATAGGGGGCGCCCTTTCATAGTCATCAATGAACACTGGATGTGGTCATGTCTGGTACTGCGGCCAAACTAAACCCCACTGAAAGCTACATTTGAGATATCAACTCAAATCTGCCCTATAGTTCGCTCACATATTTATCTTGGATTTTCTGCAGGCTAAAGAAGGTTTTATAAAGGCATTTTTTGCAATATACTAAACTATACATAAAATATTTCCTGCACGAATAATCGCATCAAACAAAAAGGTTTGTATTTACATAATATATACACAAGTACTGTGTATATTTATGAACATCTGTTTAAATACACAAACTGTACATGAAACACAAAAATATATACGGTATGCGCAAATATACATTCACCGGCCACTTTATTAGGTACACCTGTCCAACTGCTCACTAACTCAAATCTCTAATCAGCCAATCACATGGCAGCAGCTCACTGCATTTATGCGTGTAGACATGGTCAAGAGGATCTGCTGCAGTTAAAGCGAGCATCAGAATGGGGATTTAAGAGACTTTGAATGTGGCATGGTTGTTGCTGCCAGACGGGCTGCTCTGAGTATTTCAGAAACTGCTGATCTACTGGGATTTTCACGCACAACCATCTCTAGGCTTTACAGAGAATGCTCCGACAAAGAGGAAATATCCAGTGAGCGGCAGTTCTGTGTGCGCAAATGCCTTGTTGATGAGGCCAGAGGTCAGAGGAGAATGGCCAGACTGGCTCCAGCAACAGTAACTCAAATAAGCACTCGTTACAACCGAGCTCTGCAGAAGAGCATCTCTGAACACACAACACGTCCAACCTTGAGGCGGATGGGCTACAGCAGCAGAAGAGCACACCGGGTGCCGCTCCTGTCAGCTAAGAACAGGAAACTGAGGCTACAATTCACACAGACTCACCAAAACTGGACAATAGAAGATTGGAGAAACGTTGCTGCTCTGATGAGTCTCCATTTCTGCTGACACATTCAGATGCTCGGGTCACAATTTGGCCTCAACAACATGAAAGCATGGATCATCCTGCCTTGTATCAGCGGTTCAGGCTGGTGGTGGTGGTGTAATGGTGTGGGGGAGATTTTCTTTGGGTCCATTAGTACCAATTGAGCATCAACGCCACAGCCTACCTGAGTATTGCTGCTGACCATGTCCATCCCTTTATGAGCACAGTGTCTCCATCTTCTGATGGCTACTTCCAGCAGGATAACGCAGCATGTCATGAAGCTCAATCATCAAAGACTGGAGAACATGACGATGAGTTCACTGTACTCAAATGGCCTCCACAGTCACCAGAGCTCAATCCAATAGAGCAGCTTTGGGATGTGGGAGATTGGCATCATGGATGTGCAGTCGACAAATCTGCAGCAACTGTGTGATGCTATCATGGAGCAAAATCTCTGAGGAATATTTCCAGTAGCTTGTTGAATCTCTGCCATGAAGGATTAAGGCAGTTTTGAAGGCAAATGGGGTCCAGCCAAGTACTAGTCAGGTGTACCTAATAAAGTGGCCGGTGTGTGTGTGTGTGTGTGTGTGTGTGTTACTGTCACTTTTGATCAACTTACAGTGCCAGTGCTGGAGGAAATAATAAAATCTGACCCCCAAACAGCTCTAAATAATAAGCTCCAGCTTACCTTCCACCGCATGAAGACATAATCACTATTCTTAAGTTCCTCATAGTCGAAATCATCTGAATTAAAGCTCTTTGCATACTGATAAAAGGCCTGAAACTTCCCCTGGGAGAGACGGAGAGCACATTCAGCAGATCAGCTTCCACATCACAGTCACGGCACTTGATGATCCATAATTAGACTCAAAGATTATACGCATCGTTATTACCCAGTGTTTTCTGTCCACATCCTCGTCTGCGTCCCATTTCCTGGTTAAAAATGGCCGTTTTTTGCTAATGATCTCCCCAGCGAAAAATGTAGTAAGAGTGGGATATTCCTGAAGAGAGAGTAGATTCAGATGTGTGTGTGTGTGTGTGCTTATAACACTGATATAACATTAATAAGGCAACATTATTAAAGGGCACCTATTATGCACAAATCGCTTTTATAATGGGTCTAAATACTGCAGTGTGTGAGTATCTCCAGCCTCTGATGGTCAACAAATTGAGTTTGTTATAATCAGACTTGATGAAGGAAACACTTCCCTTTGTGCGTGAGGGGGAAAGCCCCGCCCACTAGTGCCCATCTCTCCATCTAATTAGCATAAACAGCAGCCCTGAGTGAGAAGTCAAGGCATTAGTAGCTCCGCCCTCTTTTGAAAAGAGCACAAACTCATTTAAATTTAAAGCAACAGTCACCAAAACAGCACTAAAGTCCTTAATGAGGTAGAGATAGGTTAGTGGGCGGGGCTTTCGTCCTCTGATGACACGTACAGAGGGAGAACGTCAATCAAAGTCTGATTAGAACAAACACAATTAATCACTGTTGACCATTAGAGGTTGGAGATACTCACACACTGCTGACACACACTACTGGGGTTAAACCCCGCATAGAAGTGATTCTCTCTTTAAATGAAGAGTGGGTCTCACCTCCGTCAGGCCTTTGATCTTCAGGTATCCGCACAGGTATGAGTCCTCCATGGTCACGTGCTGCAGATCCAGAGCACAGACTATTATTAAACACACTCCGCGAATGTGGGTCAGAGCAAAACACATTCAGCAGATATCTGTCAAAGAGCTAATCTGAGCTCAAATCTGACATCAAATCACCATTCTCCACTACAACAGAGACTCGGGTCCATGATTGATTATTAGTAGGCCTGTCACAGTCATCAATATATCAGACTGTCACACTAAACAGGAGATCAATACATAGTTTCCACATATGCATCAATATCTCCAGCATATGTGACCTGATTGGCATTCAGAAATAAGCTGTTGTAAAAGGACGATTTCACATCTACATCAACGATTCTATCTGGAGATTTCCTTTGTGAATATTAGAAAATCTAAACAACCTCAAGAATGAGATGTGTGTGTGTGTGTGTGTCTCTTGAACGTGCTTATCTGTTATACTGTACAATAATTATATAATCGGTGGATTAAAATGACAATATCATCACTTATCGCAATCATTTCTGAGTCAATAGTAGCGCACAGCCAAAAGTATTTATTGTGAAGGGCTAATGATGGCACCTACAAAGGACAAAACACTGCACACAGGGCTCGAAATTGCGACCATTTTGGTCGCATATGCGCCCGAAAATTAATCTATGCGACCTCATAATATATTTGGGCGCATTAGTGCGACTGCAGATAATGGTTGTAGTGCGACCTGTTTTGATTTTTTGTAAAAACGTGCTGAATCGCTCTTCCCTGCCGCTATATTGGTTTATATTAGCTGTCAATCACTCAATGTATTCCGCTGTCAGATGACAAGGAAGGAGCTTTTATCACCACGGGAAATGCAAACGGCTGAAGAGTAAAAACTTAAAGCACGCAGGTTTGCAAACCCCACCTAAAGTTTAGGCGCAGATGAAAGCGATCATGACACGTCACGTGACGAATAATGATCCACCAGCTGAGATCAATCGAGTACGCGCTTCTTGGAGAAGGTGCCCGAATGTCCATGCGTTGCATTCACTGCGTGTTCAGCGCAAATGTCCGCTAAAAGTCAAATCTAATACTGCATCATCGCCAAAGAAGCTCGCCTATACTAAGTTTACACTGAAACTGCGGCTCATAACAAAGACCGGTATTGCGCCGATGGTTAGCGCAAGAATCCTGCTCTGCCTGCTCATATATTGGGTCGGCTGACTCGCCTGCTTTTCCACTAACACAGAAAAATGAAGATCAGCTCAGACTGAACCTTTAAATTGAAACAAACTGAAACCAAAACTTTTAAAGAGTGATAGAAGTGAGACTTTACTTTCTTTCTTTTGTCTATTCTTTCTTGAGGTGTGTATTATTTTTATATTTATTTACTGATGACTGCTTTGCAGCTTTCATCATTGAATTGAATGATTTATTATAATCTTTTGTTTGTTTTGTTGCAGAAATATTATTTATTAAATTGACATGCATATAAAAACAGCAGTACAAAATACATTTTTCTTACTGCAATGCTTCATTTTTGTTTGATGCAAACTATACAATTATTTTTCATAAAGTAACAGACTTTTTATAGCAGATAACATACATTCATGCACATTCAAGGCAGCATCATAATGAGAAATGGAATTCATTGTTACTATTATTGTCATTTTTTATCATCATTAATATTCTATGGCCTAATTATTAGACATTCGTTTTGGAATTATTGCACACAAATATCAATGTCTTCGCAGCATTAGTTAGATAGTTGTTTCTGGTTTTTGTCAGTCCTATTAATGTTGTTTTAAAATACAATAAATCCCTTAAAAAACAATTTGCAGCGGTGCTCATTCATTTTTGGTGGATGCTCCTAAATTTTTTCTGGTGCTCCTAAAAAATTTTTGGTGCTCCTAAATATTTGAAGTTGGGAGCACCGGTGCTACCAAGTAAAAAAATTTAATTTCGAGCCCTGGCACACATGCTACACAGACAGCTTGTCTGGATTCACAACCTAACTAGTAAGCTCTCCAGTAACCTATAATAAATACATACTATTAAACTAGTGAATTACCAATCTAGGCAGAACATTACATTTATAACCTACCTAGTACAAACAGCTTTTTTGGCTTGAGTCTTAAAAGCTAGTGAGCTGCCTATCTAGACAGCATTTGATCTCACTGTATGCTGCCTCCACACTTTACTTCACAACCTATAGTGAGCCTTCCTAGACAACATTTCAACATAAACCCTACACAGTGTTTGCGCTCCATATTCTCACAATCTGAAGTCTCTACCTAGACTGTATTTTGGTTTCAACTCCCAACAAGTGAACTACATTTTAGGGCTTGATAGTCTCACAGCCAAGTAAGCTGACAATGTGGAATCCTGACAGCACTTTGGACTTAAAACAGACCTAGTAAGCACAACACACAAACTAGTATGCTTTGATTGGACTTCATGATCTAGTAGACAGCATTTTAAACCAAAAACCTACTAAAACAATCTGACACGGCCTAGTCGGTTACTCATTAGTAAGCTGCCTACACACAAACAGTTTTCTGTGGCTTTATCATCTGTCAAGTCAGAAATTTGTGGTTAAAGCTATCCAGAACATGAGCTGTAAACTAAAGCATGTTTTGGTTTAAGAACCACACAAGCTAGCAAGCTGTCTACCTAGTAAGTGTGTAGGAATTTGTACACTGCCTAGTGCCTACCTGCAAACACATTGCATAGGTGACTTAACAGTGTCACAAAAGTAAGCTGTCTACTACATTTTGGTCTCAATACCTACCTAGTGTGCTGCTAGGCAACAAACAAACATTATTTAGGGGTTTATAATCTCAACTAAAAAGCTGTCTAGCAAGACAACATGTTAGTCTCAATACCTACTTGGTAGGCTACCTTCACACAAACTGTTTTGAACTTCAAGTCTTACAAGTTACCAACCTAGTTACCTAGAAACTAACAGTTCTGTTGAGTTTTATAATCATGTGACAAGTCAATACCTACCTAGTATGCTGCTCATTATGTTAGGCTTTCATACTTAGTCGCTACCTAAAAAGCAGTCCTTTAGGTCTCAATACCTACTTAGTAGGCTACCTTCACACAATTGTTAATAATCAAGTCTTACAACCAATTTTCTTACTTACATTTTTGACTGAAAGCTAGTACACTGCGCAGTTTTATCATCTTACAACCTATACATGTCTATAGCTGCCTAGTATGCAAAGCAACAAACATTATTTTAGGGCCTCAGCTAGACAACACTTAGGTCTCAATGTCATAGAGGTAAAGTTGGTTTTATATTTGCATATTTGTTCATTTAGCAGTCTCTATATTGTTTACTATGTTACTTTGAATATTGGATCGGAATTAGCATGCAAGTATGACTTCTAAACAGCATTAGCACTATCAGATTGACTGTGAACAATGCTGTACTTTGATAGTCATTTGCCGCTAATATGATTTCCCTATTTAGAATTTGCAAAGAATACTTTTCTGACACTATATTATTAAGGAGAATGTCTGAATATCCCAATATAAACCAACTTTACCTCTATCTCCATGCCTACTTAGTAGGTTACTGACTGGAACATTACCTAGCTAGTAGTACACTGCCTAAATGACCAACAATCCCTACTACAGGTTCACCATAAACAGCATTTTGACCTTAGAATCTTTCCTAGCAGGCTGTACACACCAAGAAACAAACTTCACTTCAGACTTTTGTAGCTTCACAACCTTGTCAGCACCCTAGCTAAACTAGTCTTGACTACGTGGACTGCATTTTGAACTCAAACAGCACCGCCTCAGAGCCGCCGAGTGAGCTGAGCTGTCTATCCAGGCAGCAGTTCTGGACAGCGCGGGTACCCTCAGTTGGAAGCTCACTGTTCACTAACACCTAGCAAGTGCTCATTGGGGTAATGCTGGTTTTATATGCACACATTCAGGCTTTCTCCTTTATAATTTAGTTTTAAAGAAGTATCCCTTGAGAACTCTATATATTGAAATCATACTATCAGCTAAAGACTATCAAAGCACTGCATTCTTCACAGTCCATTAAATCGCGTTGTTGTGGTTTTGTGATGATAATGTGATTATAGAGCCAACATTCAAAGTAAGTTAGCGTGGTAAACACTATCGGGAGTGTGTCATAAGCTGTCACTGAACGAATGTGCGAATATAAGACCAACTTCACCTCAGCCTCGGAGCCCAGTGAGCTACAGTTCTGAACATTTGGTTCCCTCAGTAGGGCGCTCAGTGCCCACTAACACCCACCAAGTGCTCACCTGCAGAACCACCTCTACATCGTAGGAGTTCCCTTTGCTCTTCTGGTGTCCCCGGAACCGGGAGCCACTGTAGAGCAGGGAGGTGCTGACGCCGGGCTGGCGCGTGTTGATCGGCGGGGGCGGAATAAGCGAGGCCGAGGCTGAGCAGGCCGCAGACGGGCCCGGGCGGCAGGCGGTGCGAACCGGCATGCTGGATCTCTTCTGCGGGGCCCGAGCAGCGGAGCGTCGCGTCTGTGCGCCGCTGGACCAGGAGAAAACACGACGCTTCACCGCGCGGCGCGTCAGTTTACAAGCTTCTCCCGCAGGACGCGCGGTTACGTCCCTCACAGCAGAATGAAGGCGCTCAACGGAGAGTCGTGTGACCCTGCACGCTGTTCTCTGATTGGATGACGGACGCCGAGTAAAAAATGACGCTGGATTCTCATTGGCTGCATAGTGAAAAGCATGATGGGCTTTGTAGTTGTGAGATGTGGAGGATCGTAAATGTTCTAGAAGTGCTGTTTGTTTAGTGTGACTTTTTTTGTAAATCTGTACGTAAAAAAACGCAATTCTCGTTATCTTACCGTTATTTTAATTAACTGGAAAAAAAATAAAAATAAATATTTTGTAAAAGCTGCTGTGGTAATAACGATAACTTGTATATTAATCATATTTAAACAATACTTGAGAAAATAAATGTCCTTAAATGTTCAACTCTCCTGATGAAAAGCTTGATCAGGGCTTTGTAGTTGTGACTGAAATGTTCTAGGAGTGACAGCTGTTTGTTTAGAGTGTAAAACACAGAAGAGCCTCAATCAGTAGTGCAAGAGTGTGATTCCTGTTAACATAATGTTCACATACACACAAATACACTTTATTAAACATGTACAGATATCACTCACATACTATATAACTACAGGTTAGGTATGTTTATATATAATAACTTTACTGTTAAACGCTATTAATCAAAAGTTAACAATTAAAGTTACTAGTAACTAATAAAGTGATGTTAAATAACTTCTCTGATTTTGACTGTGATGCAGTAGTTATTATGAAAAGTGCTATACAAACTTGAATTTAATTTTATCTCCACTTTAAATCCTGATTGAGTTTATTTTGTAGTAAAGTAAATATATATTTGGCTAAAGGTTTAGCTGTGGTGGTGATGTTTTTGTATATTTATTATATATTTAAGAAATGTCCTTTTATGTAAAACTTTCCTCACCGCACACAAATGGAGCTTCTGCGATACCTACACATCTCTGCAGATGGCAGCATTGCAGATTGAGTGTCTCTAAAACACATTTAAATAAAAATGAAGGCATCATCTTAATTTTATATCAGATTTTAATAAACAAAAGCAATACATGTGAGTAGATGTATAATATTTCTCAGACATTATATATATACATATACATTTTCTTTCTCTCTGTCTGATGAACGTGTTAACGCTGCACAGGTAATGTCATGTCCTCCAGCTCCTCCTTCACAAAGCGAATGTAGTTCTGTATTTCTGAGATGCGCTTGCGATTCCTCTTCATCTCTTCTTCTTGTATCTACACACAGAACAGACAAAGATTTTATCCAATATTTACATTTAATTTAATGATAAAAAGTGTTGTTTATTATAATATAATAATAACATAATACCATAATAATATAATATAATATAATATAATATAATATAATATAATATAATATAATATAATATAATATAATAATACAATATAATATAATAATATAATATAATATATATAATACAATATAATATAATATAATATTAATATACTCTATTATATAATATAACAATAATATAATAATATAATAATATATTTAAGTTCTGTGTATTGTTATTCATTTATTATCTTATTGTCTCTATTTTACTATTATTAATATTTTTAATTTCTTTATGTATTTTTATTTAATGCAAACCCTGGCTTGTAAATAGTTGTTGCTAGCTATGTATATTGGCTTTGTTCTGCAATAAATAAGTAATCTTAAAATATAATATAATATAATATAATATAATATAATATAAAAATAATATAAAAATAATATAATATAATATAATATAATATAATATAATATAATATAAAAATAATATAATATAATATAATATAATACAATATAATATAAAAATAATATAAAAATAATATAATGTAATATAATATAATATAATATAATATAATATAATATAATATAAAATAAAAATAATATAATATAATATAATATAATATAATATAATAATTAATTGCATCCAGGATAAAAGTTTTAACATAATATATGTGTGTATGATCTATGTATGTTTATTATGTATATATAAATACACACATGCATGCATTAGATATAATATATATGATACAAATCATATATAAATTAAAATATCTGCATCAATATTTGTTTTGTTTGTATATGTTTGTGTGTATTATTATTATATATATATAAAACAAAAACATTTTTGTATGCATTTAATTCATTAATCTGCATCCAGCACTAAATATAATGCAATAAATGATGTTATAAAGTGTGTTAATGTTTAAGTAGAGTGTGTTTGACTGACCTCTGTTTTCAGATGTTTGATCCAGCTGTCTGTGTGCGTGCGCAGCACGTCTTCTCTGTTATCGATCTTCATCAGGTGTGTGTCGTGTGAAGCGTTCGCTGCGTTGATCAATGTGTCTTTATCTACTAACAGCTTCAGCACAGAACATAATCATCAACACACACACACACAAAACATAAAATAATTAACAATACACACACACACACACACACACACACTGTTATTAGTTATTAAAACTATGTATAAACACACACATGTAATAAAATATACAGTAAATTAATAACTCTCATATACATTCAGCAATACAGTTATATAGTCAGGCACTTTGTCCAACATTTAAGCCTAGTAAACACACTATTTTCATGGATGTCCAGCACTCGAACCAACCCTGAGTTAATTAGCATCTCATCAATATTCATAAGAGATCAACACAAATCTGCATAATTGAGCCTGTTCCCCCTCACCATGGCCAGATCATCCGGGATCTCCTCTTCAAGCTCATTCTTGAGGACTTTCTCCAGTGTTTCCAGGCCGATCTCCAGCTGCTGTTCATGGTGCTGGTTCTCCAGATCTCTGCACTGCGCAAACGTGAGGCGGACGGTTAAAGAAGACGCTCTTATACAGGAGAAATATGCTTTTATATTCATATAGACGTGGCTGATGAAGGATATATCCCCTGCACAAACTCAACGAAGCCTCCCAACATCTCGGAGATATTCCTCTCAAACTCTTTGTAGACGTCCTTTAAACACAGATTTGGAAACTTCTGTTAGTTGTCAGTGATATGATATGGTCTATGTAGAATTTTGCATTAATAATCCATATCTACATCCTTTGAAATAAAGATTTTGTACCACAAAAGTTCTTAAATGAATTCTCATGTCTAGGAGCTCTAGTTTAAGACCTTTTCACACTAAATAAGCAAACAGTTTTAAACAGAATTAACAACCTACTGCCACAAAAGATCCTCCACCTAAAGCACTGATATCCTTACCTAAAGCACTGTTAGCTCCGCCCTAAAGCACTGTTAGCTCCGCCCTAAAGCACTGATAGCTCCGCCCTAAAGCACTGATACACCCGTCCTAAATAACTAATAGCTCAAGCCTAAATTACTGATAGCCCCGCCCTAAATTACTATTATCACTCCCCAAAATTACTGATAGCCCTGCCCTAAATTACTAAAATCCTTCCCTTAAATCACTGATAGCTCTGCCCTAAATTACTGATAGCCCCGCCCTAAATTACTAAAATCCTTCCCTTAAATCACTGATAGCTCCGCCCTAAATTACTGATAGCCCCGCCCTAAATTACTAATATCCCTTCCCTAAATCACTAATAGCTCCACCCTAAATTACAGATAGCCCCGCCCTAAATTACTAATGTCCCTTCCCTAAGTCACTGATAGCCCCGCCCTAATTTACTAATATCCCTCCCCTAAATCACTGATAGCTTCACTCTAAATTATTAAAAGCTCCGCCCTAAATCACAGATAGCCCCACTCTAAATTACTAATATGCCTCCCCTAATTCACTGATAGCTCCACCCTAAATTACAGAGAGCCCCGCCCCAAATAACTTATATTCCTCCCCTAAGTCACTGATAGCTCCACCCTAAACTACAGATAGCCCCGCCCCCTAAATTACAAATATCCCTCTCCTAAATTACTGATATCCCTCCCCTAAATCACTGATAGCCCCACCCTAAATTGCAGACAGCTCCACCCTTTATTCAGTGCAGCTGAGTTGACTGTATCAGCACCTGTAGGTAATGTTTGATTCATATGACTGAATGTGTGTGTGTGTGTTTCTCGTCTGACCTCCAGTTGGTCCACCAGCTGCAGCTCCAGACTCATGAGCTGTTCAGAGGTGTGTGTGAGCTGCTGACGGCAGACGCTCAGGTGTGTTTCCAGCTGAACAGCATCCTGGATCTGATGCATCTCTGCTGTCTTCTGCAACACACAGCATCAGGCAACATCTACAGGTTATTCTGCATTTTAAAAGGGAAAACTCACTTCATTTTGACCCGCCATTTCTGAAAACAAAAATAAATAAATAAATAAATGATAAATAAATGACAAACAAATAATAAATAAATGATACATAAATAAATAAATGTTAAATAGATAAATGATAAATAAATGACAAACAAATAATAAATAAATGATACATAAATAAATAAATGTTAAATAGATAAATGATAAATAAATGATAAAGAAATAATAAATAAATGATACATAAATAAATAAATGATAAATAAATAAAATAAATAAATAAATAAATAAATAGATAAATGATAAATAAATAAATGATAAATAAATAAACAAACAAACAAATAAATAAATAAATAGATAAATGATAAATAAATAAATGATAAATAAATAAATGATAAATAAAGAAATAAGAAAAATAAATAAATGATAAATAAATAAATAAATGATAAATAAATGATAAATAAACAAACAAACAAACAAATAAATAAATAAATGATAAATAAATAAATAGATAAATGATAAATAAAAAATAATAAATAAATAAATAAATAAATAAATAAATAAATGAATGAATGAATGAATGAATGAATGAATGAATGAATAAATAAAAAAGCCTCATTTCTAAACTGACCAGTCTCCTGAAGCTCTCGAAGTCGGCTGCGATCTGTGCCGCTTTCTGCTTGTTTTCAGCGACGGCTTCTCGAGAACAGCTGAAGAAAGACTCCACCTCCGCAGACCTCCGAGAATACTGAGACAACCCTGCCTCAAACATCTGCATACACACAGCCTCCATTCTGCTCCTAAACGTAGAGCCACGTGACTGTCAAGGAGAGGCGATTCCTTGGTGTTCTTAATGTACGCATGTAC